CAACATCAAAGAGAAATATAATTTTTAAATTGTAACTCTTTGTATTTTATAAAAAATTATGTATTGACCAAAATACTTTCACACACTTAAATGATTTTATTTTTAAAAAAGAAAGCAAAAAAATGAGTAAAAATTATGGAATAGTTTTTGTAAAATTTTCTTTAAAATCATATAATCACTATTTTTTTTGCGTTCGCATAATTTTTGAAATAATACGAGGGAGATTAATCACTATATTTTTAATGTATTGTAAAATTTATATATCTTATCATATGATTGTTAATTTATGTTTTCATAATTTTAATAATACAAGAAAAAGGAGTCAATGTTTAATAAGTGCAAATGGCGAAGGAGAGGAAGAATCACATTAATGCGTCATAGAAATTAAAATCATATATTTCCGTTAATGTAAATTAATCTTGCGGAGAAGAATCATGATTTTTTAATATTAAAATTACAGGATCGGAAATCTAAGTTTGTTAAATAAATGCGGGGGAGAAGAATAATAAAATCACTAATGTTTTTGTCGTATATTTTTTGAATTAAGGGGTGAGAAGAATTATATATTTGTAATAATTTAGTAAACCTAGATTTTATATATATTTGTGTGTGTGTGTGTATGTGTGTGTGTGTGTATAGATATATATATGGGATTGACTCCAGTCAGATGACACCTTACGGTGAGATGACATGCTACGGTCAGATGACGCACCCACTGGCCACTGCAAAGCTCACCAAGGACAACTACAAAGCTCACCATATTTTTTCAACACTTTGAATTTTTTTTGAAAAAATAAAATCAAAGGAAGGGGTGTTGACTAGACTTTGACCATTGACCGTTGACCATCACCGGCCACCGCCGGAACCGGAGAGTTATACTACTTGAGAGTACTATTAACTATCTAGCGGGGGTGTACAAGTTATGAAAGCTTAAAGACAGTTAACAATGTTCTGTATAACTCATTCGAGGAGGCATGTGATGTATTGGGGTTACTTGCTGATGATAAGGAATTTATTGAAGGTATAAAAAAAAAGCTGCTGAGTTAGGTTCTGGGAATCAGCTTAGAAAGTTGTTCGTTACATTATTAGTGACAAATACCATGAGTCGCCCGCAAATTGTTTGGGAAAAATCATGGGAACGCCTGGTGGATGGAATTTTATTTGATCGAAGGAGACTATTGCGTAATCAAGGTATTTCAGTAGAGAAATAGTTTTTTAACATATTAATTCGTAAATAATGTGTTGTCTTGAAACCTACAATTTTTATTCAGAACTTTGTAGAATTAAATAAGTTCCATTATTTCTATTTCTTTTTTCAGAGCTTATAATTTTTCAAGAAGACCTAAAGAATTTATGTCTGATTGAGATTGAAAAGTTGTTTAATTCAAATGGACGGTCTTTGAGGGAATTCAGTTGTATGCCATTTCCAGATGACAGTCCACTCAATACATTTCAAAACAATTTGTTGGTTGAGGAGTTGAACTATGATAAAGAAAAGTTGTCATCTGATCTTATGGGATACTTATCTACGATGAATGAAGATCAGTGGAAGATATACGATGAAATAATGGAAGTTGTGACAGCTGGAAAAGGAGGTTTCTTTTTTGTGTATGGTTGCGGTGGAACTGGAAAAACATTTCTTTGTAAATCATTGTCTGCTTCTCTAAGATCAAGTGGTAAAGTTGTCTTGAATGTCGCATCCAGTGGGATTGCAGCATTACTTTTGCCTAGGGGAAGGACATCACACTCCAGATTTTCAATTCCTTTGGCGCTAACTGAGTGCTCAACGTGTGCCATCAAACAAGGGAGTCCAAAAGCAGAACTAATTCAACATGCAAGTTTAATCATATGGGATGAAGCATGTATGATGAATAGATTTGCTTTTGAGGCATTGGATCGCACGATGAGAGATCTAATGAAGTTCTCTAATCCAAACTCAATAAATGAACCATTTGGAGGGAAAACAGTTGTACTCGGAGGTGATTTCAAACAAATTCTTCCTGTTTTACCCAGAGTTGCGAGAGAGGAAATTGTAGGTGCTACCATTAATTCTTCAAATTTGTGGTCTTATTGTAAAGTTTTTAAGTTGACGAAGAATATGAGATTACATTCATCAACGTCCTCTTACGTAGATAGAGACCCGCAAGATTTTTCTGATCGGATAATCAAAGTTGGAGATGGAAAGCTTGGACAAGTGATTGATGGAATTGTTGACGTTGAAATTCCTCTCGAATTTTTGATTATAGATAACAGTTCACCCCTCAAAACTATAGCGGATTTTACTTATCCGAACTTATTGGAGAAAATGAGAAGTTATTCTTTTTTTCAAGACAGGGCACTACTAGCACCCACGCTCGAAGTTGTAGAAATGGTAAATGAATTTGTCTTATCTCTCATTCCCGGAGATGAAATGGTGTACTTGAGTTCTGATTCATCATGCCAAGCAGATTCAGATGTAGGTGTTGATGACGACTGGATAACAGTTGAGTTTTTGAATGAAATCAAATATTCGGGAATCCCAAACCACAGGATAGTTTTTAAAAAAGGGGTACCAATTATGTTACTGAGGAACATTGACCAAACATCTGGATTGTGTAATGGTACAAGATTAATTATTGACGAGATGCGAAAGAATGTTATTGGTGCTATTGTGGTTTCGAGAAATTGAGTGGGCGAAAAAGTTTACATACCCCGGATGAATTTGGTACCGTCTGATCTAGGACTACCTCTAAAGTTCTAGAGAAGACAATTTCCAATAGTCTTATGTTTTGCTATGACTATTAACAAAAGTCAAGGTCAAACATTGTCATTTGTTAGATTATTTTTAACCAAGTCAGTGTTCACTCATGGTCAGCTCTATCTTGTTGTTTCACGAGTGAAGACAAAGACAGGATTAAAAATATTAGTCTTAGATGACAATGGAAATCCTTTGGTATTAAAAATATTAGTCTTTCAAAAAATTTGGTATTAGAGCAAACTTTGTTGTGTGTAGATTCAATTCCTCATATATTATTCTTTTTACTTTGCCGTTCTTTTCTGTGTTATTATAAATCATGCATGAGGTATATTTCCTTTATTCCGGAAAAAAAATATTACATTGAATAAATTCAGAATCGACAAGATATTCATCCGAACCCGTGCGTGGCACGGGTAGGAATACTAGTAGGCAGAAAAAGCTAAGTTAGGACATTTTAGAGTTATCATCACCTCATATTTTAAAATTATTTTATACACCGTATAAAATGTTGAAGAATTAAAAAATAAAAATTATATATTTAAAAAATTACATAAAAATGTATAAAAATCAGAGATGATATTATTATATTATTTTATCAATTGAGCATAAAAAATAAACCAATAAACTAAATAATGTTTGACCATGTGAATAGTAAGGGTGTGCATAAATATTCGTTCCAACATATCCATCCACAATCTGGGGCGATCTGATCCGAAAAATAGATATCCGATCTGATAGTTTAGCTTTAGGATATTTCAGATCGGATATCCCAAAAAATAGGATCGGATATGGAATGACATATTAAGATTTCGGATATCCGTGGGTATCCGAAGTTCATAGTTAAAAAAATATAAAAATATTTTGGGATAAAATTTTAAGCCCAATTCATTTTCATCATCATAAACTTTTTAATCTAAGCTTAATTCAAGCTTTTTACTTTACTCGTTTTGTCTCTGTTTTATTTGTCAATTATGTTGATATTTTTTTCATACATTTATGAAATTAGGCTTATGATAACAGTATCAAAGTAATTATAACATCTAAAATAGAGTTGACTTCAAATTCAAGTCTAATTTATGACCTCTACTATTTTAACAAATAAAAAATCATTCTAAATACTTTTTTAGAATTATTAGAAAAAATAAAAATTCAAAATAAACAAATATAATTTTTTCCGGATATTCCATTGACCCGATCCAAAATTTCGTATATCTGGTAATTTTCAGATCAAACATGGAATAGATATTTACCGATCCAAAAAATTTGGGTATCCGAAAAAATAAATCGGATTGGATTGGATCATTGGATATATCCGAATGAACACCTCTAGTGAATAGTGAATAAGAAGATTATTTTTAGACGGATAGATTATTTTAAAGAAGCCTGGAAATATCTCACTAGAAGTAAAATATAGTAAAAAAATTTAAATTGAAGTTCTATGATTTTAACCCCAAAATAGGATTGTTGTCATGACAATTTAGCACTATATATTGGCATTCCATAGTTTTTTGATATTATATTCTGTCATTATTGACATTGAAACTCATATTTTGAGATAAAAATATAAAATTTTTATTTTACTACATTCTTCATATTTTAATCCTGATTTAATCTTTTTTTTTTATTATTTTATGTGAGACACATGGAATAAGTGTTTGTACAAACTTTGAGGTCATCCCAAAATATTGGAGTTACTTTAGCACGACTTTTGTAGGTGTGGTGTAAATGTAGTTATGTAGCAATTTTCTTTCTTAAAAAGGAGCTTCTCTATATGGAGCCGCTTGTTCCACACTTTTAGCAATTTGCCTTCATTTGTGAGCGTTAATGTAGCTTTCACACAGATGGAGATGGTTACATTACATCTCTCTTTCTCTTTCTTTCGTTCTCTTTCTTGTTAACATGTCTTCATTTCACGTGCAAATCAAACTCCAATGATTGTAATAATATGACAACCGGAGGTCCATTCGTCTTTACAAACTGATCGGAGTAATACTAAAGACTTTTACACATCCAAATTTGCATAGAAAAATAAATCGGGATATAAGTTTTTGAGTTGAACTAAATAATCGATTGGATTTAATTTTTTAATGCGATTCAGCCCAAATATCTTATTGTTCAATCCAATATCGGAGACAGGTTTCTAAAATTTATAGTTAATTGGCCAATCGCCAATGAGCCATCCGTCGTTGCTGTTTTAGCCCACCTCATGTGTTAAGCTGTTCATGTAAAAGTTCATTTCTAGCGGCCTATTTATCTTTATCTCAGTTGTCGGTATGAAAAAGCGGCATCTGACCCATGTAATTCGATTGTTCATCTGGAAGTCCATTCTAGCGATTCGTGATTCTTTAGGTGTTAGCACTTTCGATCCTTTCATTTCCTCGGAAGGAGGCAGTCCATTTGCAAGTGACCAACTGGTTAGATTCAAATGACCTGGTTGTCCACGTGAAGAGGAGTGTTAAAAAGTATCTCACATTAGAACTTGAAGAGATAATAAATCAGTATATAAGCTCTTGAGTTGAACTAAGTAATCAGTTGGATTCAATCTTTTAATATGGTTTAACCCAAGCGTCTTATTGCCCAATCCAGTAACTCTTTCCCAATCCTAAATCTTCCAGAGTACCATTTGAGAAAACGATGAGCCTCATCCTCAAAGCCCCCCTCAGACCCGGTCGGAATACCATTTGAGTTAAGTTAAGTTTAGTTCGACAACTTTGGATTAAAATTATGGAGTAATTGACTTCTAGTTCATTCAAATTACATTCAATTTTTTTCCAATTTACTCTCTTCATAACATAAAAATTGTCTCACTTTGTCAAGAAACCAATTTAACATAGAAGTAAAGTTTGTGATTATATGCCCAAGAAATAGAGCATTATATTTTAACAAATCACTCACGTATAGGGACCTCTTGGTCAACATGTTCTCGTACCATGTCAAAGAACTAACTCAATTAGGGCAAAAGTTTCCGTGTTCGTAATATCCACATACTCCCTCCGTTTGGAAAAACACTTCCCATTTGGATTTGGGGCAAAAATAAGGAAGTGTTAAATTATAGTTAATTTTCAATTTTGCCCCTGATGTGATGGGTAAAAGTAAGATGTGATGGATAGATTATTAGAGAAAAAGTATGATGTGATAGGTAGGGTATGAAAAAGTAAGGGTAAAAGTGGTTTTTTAATAGAAAAGGGAAGTGTTTTGTTGGAAGTGAAAAAAAAATGAAAGAGGAAGTGTTTTTTGAGAACGGAGGGAGTATTATTTATGAATTTTAGTATATAAATATAATGAATGAAAGATGTCTTTGAAAAAAATATAGATCTCCATGCCGGCCCATGAAAAGTGTCAAAAGATCTGCATTCCACATGTACACTTTATTTAAGATTAAAGAAGCACAAGTTCTTAACTAAAAGCTCGAACTTTTAGTTATAGCTCGACACATAAAATATTTTTATATTTTAACACACATCGACTATTACGTTATTTGAAAAAAATGTCAAAAAAGGATTGTGATCTTTTAAGGTTATTTTAACACACATCAACCATTCACTCCAAATCAGCAGCCACTCAGCGTCACAACAGTTTGATTACATCATTATTTTTATTTAATATTTACCTAATTCTAATCCAATTTATTTCTATATTTTATAACAGAATAGAAAATTATTTTTTATTTTCAGTTTATTTTTTTCTTTCGGGTTTAATATTTTTCGGGTTTATTTTTTATCTTTGGGGTTCTTACTTTTTAAATTTAATTTCTTCCCTTTTTTATATTATAACAATAAAATAAAGAAATATAAACTACATTGATTAGAAATAGTACATGTTAACATTACTTAAAAAGAAAAAGATTGATACAAGTAACACCAATTTAAATTTTGAATTTTCGAAACATGCTCTCTTAATTCGGCTTCTAGGTAGTGTGTCTATATATACAGAGATACAGAGTTAGGTGCGTCATTCATTCATAATCAATGTTCTGAAAACCGGACCGGACGTCGACTCGGACAAAGCACTGGGTCAAGGGTTAACCGGTTGAACCGGGGTTAACTCGGGTCAACGACTCGGTCAAACTATAATTAAAATATTAATATTTTATATTATACCATTAGATATTTTTAGTTAAAAAAGTATTTAGCTTGTGTTTTTACTTCTCCATCTAGTTTTAATATCATTGTATATATTTTAATTTACAATTTCTATTTTTTTCTATTACTTTTATTATTATTAAAAATTAATATTGAATGTTTAACACACACTTAAATTATAAGGTAATACTTATATTTTTTAAAAATAAAAAAAAGATAATAAATTCTTATTTTAGTTGACTAAAATGATTTTAATTAATAATTTAAAGATTGAAAAATTTATATTTTAGTTGATTAAAATGATTGAAAATATAAAAAAGCAATATATTAAATTATAATTAATAATTTAAAGATAAAAGATAATACATTAAGTATAGATTATTTATAGTTTTCTTAAGATAAAAAATAATTTATACTAATTATATTTAAGTTTGAACTACTGGGTACTTTAAAAATCAACAATATAACGATATTATATAAACATAGTTCTTTTTTAAGTAATTTGAAGTTTTTTTAAAAATACTCTCTAAATAGTTTAAGCAGGTAATATATACCACAATGCATGGCATGGTCAACAAAAGCTGTAGCAGCTCATTTGGTTAGGAAGCTCATTTCCCCAGCCTTGGTGGCAGGTTCGAACCCTGCCTTTGAAA